CTGTTTTACAGCAGTGGCACTAGACTTTAACTGTCCCTCCAGTGGATTTTCAGAGGCAGTAAATCACACGAGAGGAGTTTTTCCCATCCTTTTCCTGCCAAGCAGTTGGTGGAGTTGAACTGCGTACTGTTGAGATTGCAGTACTGATTCTTACCACTAGGTCATCAGAGCTCGTTTAGTACACTTGTTACCAGCAAAGAGAGCAAACATACTGCACTGAGAAAGTCTGCAGTCATGGACCTCTCCAACTTATTGATGTCAGTTTTAGAACTAAGGTGTGCCTAATTCAGGGCTTGGTCTTTTCAGTCACTTGCTCTGCATCTGACAGCTGGACAGTGAATAGGGATGATAGAAGAAGAATTGATGCCTTTGAGCATTGTTGTTGAAGAGTACTGACTATCCCATGGACTGAAAAACAGCTGTGTCTTGAAGAAGGTACAACCAGAGTGTTCTATCGAGGATGATGAAGCTTTGTCTCACATACTTTGGGCATGTTGCTAGGAGAGGCTGTTCCTTAGAGAGGGTCATCATGCTTGGAAAGTTGGAGAACATGGCGAAAGAGAAGAAGATCCTTAACCATGTGGATTGATACAGTGACTTAAGGGTGGGTTCAGGGATGTCAGAGATTGTGAGACTTGCATGAGATAGGACAGGATTCAGATCTGTTGTTCATAGGGTTACTATGAGTCGTATGTGACTCGACAGCATCTAACAGCAACAACAATATCATCTTTGGTTGCTTTTTAGAAAATAATTTTTTCCTCTTCATTGCTTTGAAATTTTAAGTTCAGTTTCTATTGTTTTTTAACTCTACAAACATATATTTAAAGTACAGGAAAAAAATGGAGCTCTGGTGGCAAGAAGCTATGCTGCAATCCCAAAGGGATGTGGTTCGAGTCCACTAGTTGCTCTGTGGCAGAACGATGGGCACTCTCCCATGTAGTTAACTGCCACTGAAAACCCACCAGAGGGTCAGCTATGGGTCAATTCCGAAAACAACTAACTTTTTCATCCTCAGCACCAAAACAAACAGTGCCCTGCCTTTGAGTTGAGTCTGATTTACAGCACCCCTCCATAAATTTCTAAACCTATAAATTTTTAGAGAAAGAGACTACTCATCTTTGAGGAGTAGCTTAGTGGATTGGAACTGTGGACCTTTTGGTTACCAGACTGACAAGTTGCACACTATGTTGCCAAAGGTCCTTTTTATCAGTATCAAGCTTGAATATCTTCCTTTCTTTGGTTCTTTGTTATGTTCTTTAAAAAAAAAAAAAAATATGATCTCTAGTTTTGGATGTTGTTGGGTATTGTTCATTTGGAACTAACCCAAAGTTGGATCCTACTGTGCAGTTAGCCTACTGTTGGGTAGTAGTTTAGATTTATTTGGATTTGTGTATATGATAGTCTTCTAGTTGCTCAGCCATTTGTACTTTTCCTGTTGGGCCATCTCCTCCTTCACAGTCTAATTTTATGGATACCAACAAGCAGTGGAACTTCATCCTGGTTTTTTTTCCTTTTTCCACAAGTACATCTGACAAATACTCTTTTGATAAATCTGTTGGTATTAAATTTTGTCTTCCTCCCGTCCCCACTAATACTTTTATACTTGAAATAGTTCTGTTAAATACACATACAGGTTGACATTTATATTCTCACCACTTTGAAGATCTGTGGTGTTCTGATAGTCCTTTTTTGATTTTTGACATGGGATAGTTTACGGTCAGTCTAATTCTGATCCTTTTAATCTTTTTAAGTGAAGTAAAAGCTTAAGGTTTGTTGCTAGTGCTTACTCCAAACTGTGGGTATTAAACATATGTTATTTTTCTTTTCTGTTTGAAAAAGGTTCTGCCAGATTCTAATGAAGCATTTTTGCTGAAAGTTTGTCTTCGCTGGGGCATTTTTTGGTCCTTTTAGTTGCTTCAATTACTGTAATCTTTGTTTTTTAATTATTACATTTTTTTCTCAGTTGCCTTTCCACACATACCTGGTTCTGCTCCTTCATGGCCGAGTCTTGTGGACACCAGTAAGCAGTGGGACTATTATGCCAGACGGGAGAAAGAGCGAGACAGAGACCGGGATCGAGACCGTGACCGGGATCGAGACCGTGACCGTGAGCGAGAGCGAACCAGAGAGAGAGAACGTGAGCGAGACCACAGTCCCACACCAAGTGTTTTTAACAGGTTAGTGCATATACATAGAAGGTTAGCATATACATATATATGTGTGTGTTTGTATATCTGGTGGCTTAGTGGTAAGGAGTTATACTAACAGCCCAAAAGAACAGTGGTATGAGTCCACCAGCTGCTCCACAGGAAAAAGATGGTCAGTTTCCTGTGTGATTTATTGCCTTCAAAACCCAATGGAGGAAAAGACAGGGTAATGTGAGCATAATTTAGTAAGGATTAGTTTTATAAAACACAATAGATAGGAATGATTATATGAAACACAGTGTGAAGTAAGGGAAGTGTGACATTGGGTGTATGAATTTCATATGCACACCAACATAAAACTTAAAAAATCCACTGGTGGGTAAGCAGTGAATCAGTTACTATTCTCAGAAAGGATTGAGAAAATCGTAATATTGTTTGTTTTTAATATAACTTTACTAAGTTTTTAAAAAGAAAACATACTTCCCTTGTATGTGTTAAATAATTAAAACCATAGATTTATAGACACTCCATTTATGGAAAATAACTACCATGTACCCTAACTGATAAAAGACAATTGTCATTTTATCAGACTATCCAACCATATTGTACTTTATTTCTATCAGAAACAAAGGTTGTTGTTGTTGTGTGCCGTCGAGTCGTTTGTGACTCATAGCGACCCTATGTACAACAGCCCTAAACTCTGCTCTGTCCTGTGCCAATCTCATTGCCTCTGACACACCCATCCCGATTACCCCAGTCACGGAATCAATCCACCTCATAGAGGGTCTTCCCCTCCTGTGCTGTCCCTCCACTCTGCCTAGCATGATGTCCCTCTCTAAAGACCTGTCTCTCCTTACAACATGTCCAAAGTATGTCAGGCGAAGCCCCAGAATCCTTGCCTCCAAGGAGCAGCCTGGTTTAACCCTCTCTACGATGAATCTGTTTATTTTCTTGGCAGTCCATGGTACATTCAATACTCTTTCCAGCACCACAGCTCAAAGACGTCAACTCTCCTTCTATCCTCCCTAGTCATTGTCCAACTCTCTGATGCATAACAAGTGATTGCAAAAACCATGGCCTGTATTAGGCGGACCTTAGTCTCCACAGAGACACCATTGCTCTTGAGTACTTTAGAGAGGTCCCTAACCGCAGACTTTCCCATCGCAATACGTTTTTTATTTCCTGGCTACTGGTGCCAAGAGTGAACAGATAATATGTATATTCATGTATGTACTTATCTGTATAAAGGGGAAGAGAGAATATTTGCTATTTAACTACGTAAATACATGATTGTGTTAAATTTGAAGAATTACTTTGCAGAAAAGAGGAATTTTTTTCTAAGAGATTTAAAAGGAATGCATTTGGGTCACTCTCATTGCCGTTGAGTTGCAGCCAGCTCAGTGGTTTTCAGAGGATGTGAATTGAAAAGGAGGAGATCATCCATCTTTCTCCTAGGGAACAGTTAATGGATTAAACCTCATGCTTTTGGGTTAGCAGTGCAATTTCTTTCTTTTGGGTATAATTTCCTTTTGTACACATTAGAGCAGTTTTTAGATTGGAACCTTACTTTTATGATGTTTTTCTTTAGACCTGCATGTGCATAAATACTACCTAATTAGCTTAAACTGAGTTTGATTTTCAATTGTTGAACATTAAATCTGATTAAAACTTTATAGCCAGAGAAGCAGTGATGTAGAAGAATTTGTACTTTTCTGAATGATCCCAAGAATAAAGCATAGTCTGAAATACACCAATGAAGTTTAAGAAAAGGCTGTCTTTTTCTGGACTGACGTTTTAGCAATATGGTATGTAGTGTATGTTGTGTTACAAATTACAGGGTCATTGTTTTGAAAATTGCAGATCATTTTCAACATCTGTTTTTCAGGCAGTTTAATTGTGGGCCACAAAGAAGACTAGTCATTCTGGGGTGTTTGAAATGAGCTCTAATGATTTCCAGGCCCAGAGGAACCTTTGTGCTGCTGTTGCATATCAGACCAGCGGAGGGAAGAAGAGGTCTTTATATTTTGTGTGTAGGATTAAATGATCCACCATCTGTAGTAAGGTTCCCTCCATATGGCTGCCTTCAGAATCTCAAGGCACCAGAGCTAACAAAAGTTGGTTTTAGAGTAAGAGAAGAAAGGTTTCCAAATGACAAATCCTGAGCTAACTGCAGGTTATTTTGTGTTACTCTAGTCTGAGTCATTTTAACAGGCTTACTTTTTAGAAACAAACTCCAATATTTATAAGCTAGGGTTCAGCTTTATTCTGTTTCACATACAAAGAAATTATTAAAAGGTCATTGACTTTTAGAGAAAATTCTGTTTCCAAAGAAACCATTAGATTCATTGTAGAAAGAAAGCCTATATAAGCAAGCTGTCTGAGGGTCTGTTCTTGTACCAAGTACTTTATAGATACTATTGCTAATAATGTCTGGAAAGGATTGTTGCCTATATTGCAGATGAAAAACTAAGTTTTGGAGTAGTTAGGGCCACATGTTAGCAAATGGCAAAACCAGGATATGATCTTGAAGCCTATATTATTTTTTACTTTCTAAAACAACAAATTTTCTTTTTTAGAATACAGTAGTTTTTAAAAGCTTGATGTGGCACAGGCAGTAGTAATTATGCATGGGCAGCAGTATGCCTTGATTTTCAAGCATAGTTTTACTGAATCATTGGATCATAGTTAAACTGACTTGCTCTTTTAATAACCAAAGTAGTGGCCTAGCGTCAGTGAAGCAGTAATTGTGTTAGAATTCCAAGATTAACTTTCTAGAGCTTGGGTGCTGTATGTAGAGAATGGAAAGTATTGTGATCAAGATTGCCATTCTTGGTTTTTGGTTTTGATTGGGAAATTGGATCAGATTTTATTAGACTAGAATGTGTTTATTGTTAAGTCTTGAATAATGTCAAGTAGATGAGTTCTCTGTTGTCAGAAAAATCAGTAGAGATTATATGATCTGAAGTGGCTTAGAGCTAAATGCAATGTCTGCTTTTACTAAATAAGAATAATTCTTTTTTTAAGATTGAGGATATTACTGGTTTTAATTTCTTTTCATTTAGTGATATCTTAAGTATTTATTTTTTAAAAACTTTATTTTATCATTTTTTTGTGTGTACTGTCAAATTGGATTTTACTGGTACAGGAGAAAATTGCCCCTCCTTCTCCAACAGAGCATCTGGTGGATTCAAACCACATACCTCTGGAATTGCAATGCAGATTCTTTCCACTAGGACACCAGAGCTCCCTTAATATCTTTAGTATTTCTTAAAATAAGTCTTTCTAATAAAATGTTGTTATTCTTTTTTTAAAGTGTCATTTGGATAAATAAAAGTTGCTCAGAACTTTATAAGGCAAAAAATACAGTATCCACTTTAAAGAATGTAACTCCTGGGACATAATAACCTGCCTACTTTGCCAATCTCTTTCTATGCAATTACAGCCTCTAAAAACCCGCTGGAGGGTTGGCTATGAGTCATTTTCCACTCAAAGGTAGTTATTTATGTTTTTTAGTACTTAAACAGTAATGTTCAGTGAAGGTTGGTAAGGTATTATTTATGTATAACTTGATTTGGGGGCCAAGAACTTTATAGAATTCAGTGAATTTTGTCAAGATTTCAAAACAGGATAAAGAAAATTCCTGAAATCTTAAAACATTGCTTTGAAAACCCATTTCATTAATTCTTAAACATATGGAAACTTTGTCTTAATATGCCTTGTCTGAACCAACCCATAATTGAACTGCCAGCGTGCAGTAAATCACATGGGTAGAGATTGCCCATCCCTCTCCCGTGGAGCGGCTGCTGGATTCGAACCACATGTCTTTGCATTAGCAGCTTACTACTAAGCCTTACTACCAAGACATGAGTGTACTCTGTTTTTAAAAATTCCTCATTTAAAGTTGGCTATCTTTGTCTTCAAATCAGGAAGGCTGATCAGAAAGTATAATATGTCCTCTCTCTTGTTCTTTGTGCGTGTGTTTGGAGTTTGCATTTCATATGGACTTAATTGCTTGTTTTTACATGTAAAGGCAAGGCTATGCCATACTTACTTTTCCTCTTCTAGAACCTAGCTTAGTGTTTGGCTCTTTATTGTCAGGATCAAAATATAATACTTCTGCACGGGGCATTCTGCTGAGCTTCAGTAGTAATTAAACAATCAAAGGCTGCTTCTTAAGATAAGGAACTATTATCCAGGCTTTTTGGTTTAAGAGAACAAATATTATTGTGTACCATTGATTCAGAACCAACTCATAGCATGAGAGATTGCCCATTTTTCTCTTGTGGAAACAGCTGGTGGATGTAGAAATAAAATAACTTGCTCTTGATCACATAGCTGCTAATTAACAGAACCAAGAATAAAACTTGGGTCTCTGTGGATCTGCTGATAGTCCCATCATAACTGTTGCACTGAAATGTTTGCTGAAGTGGCCTGAAGGCAGCCTGCTTGCTGTGTGAGGTAATTTCATGATTTTGGAACTACACTAAGAATATGTTGTGTTTAGCAGACCTTGGTCTAATTTTAGTAGTCCAGTGGTAAAGACACTTATTTCTGTTATAATTTCAGTGATGAAGAGCGATACAGATACAGGGAATATACTGAGAGAGGGTATGAGCGTCATAGAGCGAGCCGAGAGAAGGAGGAGCGGCACCGAGAACGGAGGCACCGGGAGAAGGAGGAGACCAGACACAAGTCGTCGCGAAGGTTTGCTTTTTGATGCTCTCAGGGCCATGTTTTAAGCAGTGCTGGGCTTTGTAAGAGAAAAACAGGCTTGTTCTTCACGGCAAGATTTAGAATACATCTTTTGAAATACATATTTGGTTGAAATATGAAGTTTCAACTTAGATTTCTTAAATCTTAGCTGATGGCACTGTGTTTAATTCCAGCAAACCCAAATTAGTATGGAATTTAAAATATGTTGATATGTTAAATAAGACATCTTCTCATTGGGAAAATAATCATTTTGTTATATGAATAAGTGTATAATTGTAATTATTAAGCAAAGCAATATATAGTTTAATATAAAATAGAGAACCCTTGTTTCTTAAAAAAAAATTTAATACTGACAAATTATTCCTTGTTCTCATTTAGCATTTGATTTTGTAATTTACCATTAGACTTTCCAAGTAAATTACATAGATATTAGCTATCTAGGGTAATATTGGTGAAGATTAGCTTAGAATATAGATATAATGTCTGCATATAGACAGACTCAGAAAAACCAGTCACTGCCCAAATTATAAGAAAGAGAAAAATTATGAAACTTCGTTATTTAAAACCTAGCCTGCCAGTGAAGATTCATCTGCACAAAGTGTGTTGGGTTTTGTCCATATTTGTGTACTTAAACAGAACTTCCTCCCTCTTTCAGCAATAGTAGACGTCGCCATGAAAGTGAGGAAGGAGACAGTCACAGGAGACACAAGCACAAAAAGTCAAAAAGAAGCAAAGAAGGCAAAGAAGCCGGGAGTGAGCCTGCCCCTGAGCAGGAGAGCACCGAGGCTGCACCTGCAGAATAGGCATGCTTCGGGCCTTTTGTGTATAGTAGTGCCACAAGTAGAATCTATAAATCTTGTTATTTTTCTGGATAATGTTTAAAAAACTTACCTTTAATCTTGTTCTGTTAGTATAAAAAGTGACCCTCTCCCCTTTCCCCCCAAATAAAAGTGAATTTTTCATGTTAAGTTAAAATTTTCTGTCTCATAATATTTTAAAAAAAATTAAAAGACAATAATGATGTTATATCCAACCAAGTAATATAGTTAACTCACTCAACAGGGAGTTTAATGAGCTAACTTATGTTTAGCTCTTTAAACTATGGACAGATTGTTTATCACCTCTGTACAGAGCCTACCTTGGACATAATTTTCTGGAATTATTTAAAAACCAGTTTCCAAAAAAAAAATAAACCCCAGTTTCCTTTAGCGGTTGCATTGTAAAATATATCCAAAGGCCCCCTGTATGTCAGCATTTCAGCTAGTGTCTTATACTAGTCTCTCTGTTTAGCATATTAAAGGATTTACACCCATTTCTTACATCATGACGTCTTCATTGCAGGTTTTCTGTGTTACAAAGTTGAGTTTCTGGTGAGACTCATTGGGGCACTTTTATGTCCAAATTTTTCTATAAGACATTTGTGTGACCTGTGTAACTCATCCTTAATATAGCTGTAACAGGCACATCTACAAACACTGGTCACTGTGAAATAAATGTATATTGCTTTCATGGTCATCCACGATGAAGCCGGCTTGGCCTACCTCAAATCTTTCTCAGGACGCTTTTTGGTCAAGTAGTATGTGGAGTTGTTTATACAGTTACAAACTGTATTGTGAAGGAAACTTAATGACAGGCTCTTTAGATTGATTAGTCATTTCTTGTTAAAATGAAGAAAATCCAAGTCTGAAATTCGGTGAGCATTTTTAAGGATAATCCTAGCATGTTTCTATCTGTGACTGTAACAGATAACATGGTATGTGAGAGATTGAAGTCTTGTTGGATCTTTTAAAAAGTGACAATAGAGGAGAACTTAATGAGTACCATATATTAAACACAACTATACTTTTTGAAAAATATTTATTCTCATTTGACAAACATCTTCATTACACATTTTTTAAATTCTCTGGTTTTACATTACTTTTTAAATGCCCATAATGTGTCATTTGCAGGTTTGGCAAATGCTGGTTTCTTAATTTAACTCAACAATTTTAATTCATTGGGCCTACAAACTGTGTCAGCTGTTTAACGACATTTTTATTGAATAGAAAAATATAAACATAAAGTTGTAGAGTAATGAAATCCTCCACATAGAATAAAAGCTATAGAGGTTTTTGGGGTTTTTAAAATTTTTTCTGAGGTGTAACTGGCTTTCATGAAATTATATTTTCCTGACATTAATGTTTACATTTTTACAATGCGTCCTTTAAATACAAAAATTGAAAAGATAAATAGTGTGTTTGAACTTAAACTATTTGTGATTTTCCATTTTTTCTGTTATGCCACTGACTATAAAAAAGTGCCAGGCCAGGAAACGATAGTGAGAGTAATTCTTCCTTTAAGTTCTTTGAGCATCCTTGCTAAGCAAGCATGTATCATTCCTGATGTACTTCTGCCATTGACAGCAAGAAGAATATCACCACATCTAAAAAGAAATAAAATGAATGATTAACACCTTCATCTGTAGCTGACATTATGCGACCTTATTTTGATGCTTCTAGTTTTTGTTACATCTGTCAAATTTTAGTAACATTACTTAAAATTAAGGGGTTCCCACCACCACTGAAATTTTCCAAATCCCTCTCCACCAATTTACATTCCTTTCAATTGTAAGAGGACATAACCTGAAAGCATACCAAATTGTAGTGTGGGAGTAAATGGAAGCTATTTGGATTTTATAGTTCAATTTTATTCACAAGTTTTTAATGTCTTACCCCCTCCCTCATTTAAATACATATAATGAGAAATTTATCCATTTTCACCTTTTCTTTTTTTCAGTTATACGTCTTACTGCAAATGGACCAAACTTTTACATATATAAAATGAAATAGAAATATTTAGCTATATTTTTTGTTAGTTATTATGATTACCTAATTCTTCCATCATTGTAAGCTGGTGTTCCTTCAACAATGGATTTAATAAAAAAAGGTTTGTTCCCATTGTATTCTTCATACCCTCCTACAATGCAGAAACCCAGACTTCCAGCTGTGTTTCTTCGTAGTACAACATCTTTACAGCTATACAAGTATCTGAAATAGAATGTAATCAATGTATATGCACCATTAAATATTGATGAACAATTATTTTAATTTTCCCATTTCCTTTTTTGGCCTTAGTTTATTAAGCTTGGTAGATCAGAGGCCTCATTCAAAATTGTGTCATAGCTAGCTGGGTAACCTTTGTGCTGTTAGCTGCCTGTTCTTCAAAGCTAAACACTAAAAAAAAAGTAGAGGAAAGACCCCTCTTTTTTTCATCTTACTGAGAAAGATAACCCTATTTTTGTTTTAAACAAGACTTAATTCCTCATTGTAACAAAGCTGGAGATGCATGAATCCCTTCTAATACATCAAATTAAAACATACTTATGGATCACAAATAAGGAACTCCAATAGACTTAAAATTAAATTTATCCCTAATTATTTGGTTGCCAATATTTTAACTTTTGGGAGATACCTATTTATCTATCTAGATATTTGACATCTAGTTATACATATTTGATAGTTGATAGAAAGGTATGCCGACACAAAGTGAATGAAAGGTCGGCAGTTAAAGATTATGAGAAGAATTCATATTGGGGCAGAAATAAAACCTGACAGTAGTGTGAATAGCAAGTTGTAAACAGAATGGGAGAAGACGAGGTCACTTCTGTAAATGAGTAGAGTCCTTAGCTAAAATAAAAAATGAAACTGAAAAAGCAAACTTCTTTACAGTGGTAGTTGGATCAGTGTTAACATAAGTATAGGCTGAGTACAAGCTTAGAGCTGTAAGAAAGGTGTATCAAGAGTGGACCAAAATCTCCTGGTCCAACCTATGTAAAGCTATTATTTAAAAGAAAATTGGAATTTTCTTGTTGATGAAAATCAGGATATGACTGTTTTATAACCTGTACATTTGTCATTAATTGCTTTTTAAAAAAAAAAATAAAAAGTCTTGTGACATGGTTTTTAAGTGATGAAGCTGGTCATTATATTTATTACCAACTATGCTAAATCAATTAACATGAGTTTTCGTGTTACAGGATGTTACTGTCTCGCTCTTGAAATAAAAGCGTTTTACTAGGTGACAGCCTTTACTGTTCTAAATTTCCTTTCTATTCCATTTTATAGCTATTGTCAGACATACACATCTTTTACAGTCAGAAGGTTTTTTCTGCAACCTTAATAGCTTTCAGTAGAAATGTCATTAAGTTAAGTGGTATGGTAAATCTTTCTTAAAAATATTAATCTGTTTCATAATGAGATTTCATTTTATTAGTAAATTCATCTTTTAGGAGCTTGATGTGTTATTTAATGATCTATTGACTGCTCCTGTGTTTCAAAGCATGCATTTGATGTTCCAGACATTTCATAGAAGGAGGTGGTGTTGCATGCCCATTGAAGAAGTCAAAGAATTAGATTCTTACTCAAGGTCACAATCAAATACCTCTCTTGATATGTCCCCAGCCTTGACTTTTTATACCTGTGAGCAGATAGAATACTTGAAAACTTGCTGTCAGTGTGTCTTACTCTATTGAGTATTGATCTGTTGATTATTCATGAAGTATATTTTGTTGTGTCTTTTTGGACCTCACAGTTGACTCTTATTGCATATTTCATATCGATGAGGTGTGAACCTATCTATCTAAAACATATATTCCAGTATCAAAAATATTGAGTGTAAAGTCAAGTATATGATTATTTTCTTAGCCTTGTTTTTATATTGACGAGTCAGCCTAGCATAATGACCATTTCGTCATTGTCTGACTATATTTGTGGCCTTGGTCTCTTAAGTCCTTTAAAGCTTATATTAAATAAGGTACATAACTGGTTTATGATAACAAATGAGTCTACATTATATGAATCAAAACATTATTATTGAATCATGTTAAAGATGTTTTAGTGTATCTGAAAGTGTTTAGTATTTTTAATGTATCTACTGTATACTAAGACAAACATTTGACTAATGTTAAGTAGAAACTACCTGTTTTGACGTGTCTATTGATGCAATGTAAAGACAGAGTGAGGAATAGAACCAATTTGTAATCTGAGGACTACATGTATACTGCACAGAGTACAAATCATATAACACCTGTTTCAGCAAATACAGCATGATGGTAAGCAATGCATGACTGAATTTGAGTTGAGGATTGAGCCTTATGCTTGAACCAGTGTCCAAAGGCACAACAAACTATTTTTATACTTTTATCAGTTGATGAACAGGCATTATTACCCTCTAAAACAACTTGTTAGATTCCGTGGAGTCGGGACAGACCCATAGCTGACCCTCCAGTAGGTTTTCAGAGGCAGTAATTCGCATGGGAGGAGATTGCCCGTCTTTATCACATGCAGCAGCTGTTGGACTCAAATGCCATGGGATTAGCACAGTTTGTTACCACTAGGCCACCAGCGTTCTTGAACTAGACAGTTAATATGTGCCTGGAAAAGCCTTCCAAACGAATTGCAAAGTAACACAACTGTGAAGGTCATGATCTTAACTTCATTTTCATTTTGAGTTCCTAATCTCTCTTCTGCAGTCTAACTTGACCACTACCCTTTCCTACCACTCTCCTTACTCACAGGCTCCAGACACAGTCCTTTTTGCTATTTATGGTCTATACAAGATTGTTCCAATTTAGGACTTTTGTGTTAACGTCTCCCTTTGCCTGGAATGTTCTGACATTCTTCACATGGCTGACTGCTAATTGCTATTTATGTCACAGATAAAATGTCTTAACTTCAGCACCCTTTCCTAAACACCTATCAATAGATGGCATCTAAGCCAGATGGAATCTAAGACCTATGGGAGTGGAAGCACTAAATAGATAAATGATACAGAAAGATAGGAGAATGGGGATCATAGTAGAAGTGCTTGAAAAGGAAGTTTTGAAAGAGTAATGACTAGTAATGATATGGATGAGGGCCATGAGAATGGGAAAATAAGAGATCCATGCACAAATTTTTGGTCACCTTGGAAAGAACAATTTAATTTTTTTTAAATTATTTTTTATGTGTGTACCATCAAATCAGATCTGACTGGTACAGGAGGAGATTGTCCCTCCTTCAGCAGAGCATCTGGTGGATTTGAACCGCACACCTCTGGGATTGCAGTGCAGCTTCGGAAAGAACAATTTAGTGGCAAGGGGGCAGTGTGGAGAGAATGTAGTTTTTGTAACCAATGAAAAGAACTTGATAGGACAAGTAGTGGTGTTAGGTTCCATCTGGTTGCTGCTCACAACCCTGTGTTGAATGAAGCACTGCCAGATTCTGTGCCTTCCTCAGAGTCTCTGCTGTGCCTAATTAAGCACATTGTTGCAGTCACTTAGAATCCAGTTTCTTGAGAAGGGTCCTCCCTGGTCCTGTTTTTCCAAGCATGATGTCCTCCAGGGACTGGCACCTGCTGATAGCAGGCCAAGAGTATGTGAGATGATTGATGTCTCATCATCCTTGCTTCTAAGGAGCACTCTTGTTGCACTTACTCCAAGACAGACTTGCTTGGCAATCCATGATATATGCAATATTATTTGCCAACACATAAATGGCATTAAGTTTCAGTCTTCTTGTTCATGGTCCATGGTATATGAAGCAACTGAAAAACTGGTGTGAATCACATGCACTTTAGTCTTTAAAGTGATATCCTTGCTCTTCGAGATTTTAAAGAGGTCCTTGGAAAATTTGACTAATGGAATAAATTTTTGTGGGGCTTTTTTTGTTTGTTTGTTTTGATACTACTAATACTCCCATATGTGCTGATCAAGAATCATAAAAACTTAGAATCCATGACAGCTTCAGTCTTTTCTCAAGCTGTTTATTGGTCTCGTTGGGAGATTTTTGTTTTATATAATCAGTGTAGACAGTGTCAAAAAGTGTGCGTGTTCAGGGATAGAAGGAACACAAGCGAGTTGAGAGAGGCTTGTAATTGTTTTAAAATGTTAAAAACTTGGAAGATACTGTAACTGGTAAGAAAAAAGAGAGTTCAGGGCTCCAGAGAGAGGAAGGATGTTCTTTTAAGAACCATATGAAGGTGCGGACAATCAGAGCATCATGTGGAGAAGAGGAAACCAACCCTCACACTCCTTGCTTCTGAGTTAGAACTGACTCCTAGGAGCTGATTCTCCATTGCGTTTCTGAGGTTGCAGGTAACCGTCTTTCTTCCTCAGAGCTGCTGGTGAATTTGAACTCGGAGAGGCACCATCTTTAATTATTTATTAATTTTTTTAATTTCAGTGAACATCTATTGAGATTTTTGGACTTCCATTCATTCATTGTTGCACTTTTCTCCCCGCCCACCCCAACCCCACCCCCAGTTTGCTCCTCTCCTTGAAAAGCAAAAGAAAAATTCCTTCATTGGTACACAATCCCCCCTGCACACCGCCATCCCCACCCCTACCCTGGTATACTCCACTCTGATATTACCTCAAAGATGGTGCCTCCACTCTCCCAAGGGGTGGAGAGTGGAGGCACCATCTTTGATGTAGCATTAGTAACTTCCTATGCACCATGCTCCTTTTTCATTATCCCAGGAAGGGAAAGAATTTCTGGAAACATCTCGGTAGGATGGGATGGGAGGGAGGGACAATCTGATTTTAGCTTGTGAAATGGTGAATGGGGTTTGTTGAGATACTGGAGGTTTAGTTGTCCATGGGAAATCACTGCTGTGGAGATGAGAGAATCTGATAGATGAGAAATGGAGAAACCAACTTGGGTTGCTTTGAAGGCCTTTGAATTAAAGGATACCAGTTCTTTTCTGCAGCAGTGCTCTAAGACCTATAGATTGACTTGGAGAAAGCACACATAATTGGCTAAATTAGGGTTTGTAATTTTACAAATAGTCCAGAAGATAGTTCAGTAAGGAAAGATTGAAAGATGGGAATGGAAAGAATTACTTCGTTTAAAAAAATGAAGTGATGGTTCATGAATATTAAGGGAGTTGGGATGGAGGTGAAGACAGGAGGGGGAAAGTAGAGGGATCAATGGACTAGAAGGGCTAGGGACCTCAAAAGGGTAGAAGGGAAAGCAGTTCTGGAAGATGAAGTTTGAGGTACACTAATAGA